AAGTTTTCGTTTCCAAGACTTTTGAAATCTCAATCAAATCCAAGTCTGTCATCACACATCTTTGAACTTTCAAGTTTATTTCAAGATGTCAGGCATTCAGGCATTTGAACTTAATTTTCGGTATTGATGAACGTCTCGAAAATTCGGAAAGTTCTCGAGGTGCTCGTCGTTTGGTTGATCATGACAGGTAGTTTATGGGATTAAATAACTATAAGGACCGCCTCGCATCTATCCTGGTGCAAAGCTAGCCAATAACCACTTTCTAGCCTAGTCCAGCAATTTAGGACCGGTAAGCCAGGCTAAGCCAAGAGTCAGGTCGAAGAACTTTTCTGTGGCTCAAACCTGCAATAAAGCTAGATTTATAGCAAAATCAAGTCAGGCCAAGTAAGACTAGAAGCTAGACCAAGAGCTAGTCCGAAAGTTTCTTTTTGGAAGGAACATTAGCCTAGGCTGGTCTACGTAGAACACTTTCAAGTATTCAAGTTCAACACAAATAATCAAGCATCCTGGCACTTTCATTCCCGAAATTCAAAACATCTTTCAACAAAATTAATTTTAGCGCTCGCCAATGCCTTTGTAAAAATCAAGGGAGAACGTGCCGTCAACTTTCAATCAGACCCAACTTAACCGGGACTCCTTGAGATCAGTGGGGATACGCTTTCGCGATTTCAAGTGTTTTGGAGCTCCGCATCTGCTTTGGTGGGTATAGTGTCTTCACATTTACTTCACATTGGCATTTATCTAAGAAAACCGTTAGTTTACATTCACCAACCCCGCTCTTGGTAACCTTAACGAGAAATTAAAAGGTTCAGATCGGACTGATCAAAAATCGATCGGACTGATCAAAAGATCGGACTGATCAAAAAAAATAATTTTTATTATCAAAATACAAGGAGAATATCGGAGGATACAATCCTCCGATCGAGCTGATCGGATGTAAACGAGCAGTTTGACTGTGATAGTTTCCAGTCAAATGAGTTTTCAAGAATAAAAACAATCATGACCCAGGCTATCAGATTTTTAAAGTTTTAAACAGACCCAGAACAAAATAAAATTATTAGGTTGTCCGGAATGAAAATACTTTTTTAATTAAAAAACAAAACTTTTCTCCACAAAAAGAAAACAATACGCTTTAATCCAAAAGATATTATCCGTTGTCGGTAATAGTCTTTCTCCATTTTTTTCAAATCTTCTTATCTTTCAAATCTTGGATCCCTTTGCTGAAGAAATCCTGAGGCTGTGAATCAAAGTATTGGCCTACCCGAATTCGGACTTCGCCATGGTCCTCGAAGTGTTTATCGGCCAGGAAATGCTGCATTGATCGAAATAAGTGTGGTAGTCTGAGGGTTCCACATCTGGACTATACGGCGGATGCGGAAGACATTCCCAACCCAATTCCTCGAGTTTTTTCTGCGCCTTCTTTGCTATGTTATTTTGCAGATATCTCACAGTTGATGCGTTTACATCTTGATTCTTCACCTAAACTTCTTGATTCTTCACCTAAATAAATCTACCAATTTTCAAGTTGCGAATCTAATAAACTATTTACTACCAAGGCTATTGGTATTCTTTGTACCTAAACAGAGTCTGTGAATAATTTTGTGTTCTTTCACTTGGCCAGACCTGGCAGGTCCTGGCAGACCTGGCAGGTCCCGTTAAGGTCTCTCTAGGCCAAGTCTAGCCTTGGCGGATTCAATTCAATTGTTTCTTCTGAAGCGATCCAACTTGTAAGGTACCTAACTGCTAGAAAGACGCTTTTCAGATGATTGGTAGCTCAACATACTACTTTATGAACTATTTTGTCTCAAGTCTAGTCCTACTTATCGAATGTGGTATTGCAAATGAACTCAAATAGCTCCTTATGGATTTTCACCTTTGGACTCAAGTCTTGCTACATTTTCTCAGTCTTAGTTTAATACCTCCGTTCAGCTCTTTGAACATGATCTATTTAAAAAAGCGAGGCGTCTCATTGAGTGAAAAAGGAAAGTACAACTCAGCTCCTACTCAATCCGTCCAAAGTAGAACGGTCACCAAGACGAAGACAACTCGACACTAAAAATCTGATTTCATTTGTCGTTTTCGTCAAAAACCTTTCAAATGCGTTTATTTAAGAAAACACCAGAATAACATAACACTCGAGAGATATTCCCGTTTTTCAGTTGCAGTTGGCGGCTCCACTCACGCAGTAACCACCATTTGGATAGCCGTTTGTCGAACAGCAAGAGTCGACGTTCTGAAAAGGATCAACTTGGAAAGGAGGCAAGAAAATTGTGGCAATGTGTCTGATTTTTCGAAATAAACCTTTATCCCACCTTTTTAGTAATTGCCGTAACGAGCTAGGGTTTTTGCAAATTTATAATTCGACTCACCGGACAAGCGGAGTTGCATGCCGGGACGGCCACGGCGTTCACCATGGATGAAGAGGCTAAAACCTTTGGTTTCTTTAGAACTTTGAAGCTAATTTTAGCTTTAGAACTATTTTTTTGGTAAACCACAACCGAACCATACCAGTTTGTTATAGGCTATGGGTTTGCTTGTTGCTCTACGCTTGGGTTTACAATAAGGTTCGTTCTAAGTGCTCACTAGAGTGTGTTCTTCTAGAGTAATGCTCCTTCTAAACAACACCTACAACTACCGTAACCAAGCACAATAGCCAAGCAGCTACCGTAACAAGTTTTCATCAATTTTTGGAAAGAACAGCTTTTCAGAGCTTACTAGTAAGCTTTCATGTTATTTAAAACTTGGACCCACTGAAGACGAGAAGAACGGCGAAGAGAAGAGCGAGGCAAGAAGAGAGAAGACGCATTGTTTTGGTTTGAAGCTGGGAACTGATGCCAGATGGAGATCCTTGTGAGTGCCATTGTATTTATATGGAAGCTCGATTTGATAAGCCTCTCGACCCTCACGACCTAAAACAGCAAAAACCCGGGGATCGACAAAAAACTTTATGAGCAAACAGATAAGGCATTCTTGGCTCAAGTTTTTGTCAAATTTTAAGAGTCGAAAATCCGGATGAAGATAAGCGCTTTTGGGTGGGCTGTTTTGAAAGAGGAAGTAAGCCAAAGGTCACTGGAAACACTGTAGTTTCTAGTTTAATGGATCCTATTCCATTTTGAACTTGCAAGGCTTTTTGGACGAGGATGTTTGGCAAGTTCCTATGCGTTGTCCGTTTTAATGCAGCGTTTTTTCACAAGTTATACACAGATGGTCCGTTAATGCAAAATCTTGCAAAATTAACGGCTTTTGGATCCATTATTTCTATATTTCAAACATAAAAGTTTTACATTTCTGATTCTTGGCTTGTCATGTCAAATGACAAGATGTCAAACTTGCTGTTGACGTTACTGATTTCAAATTACTTGTCAATGATTTCAAATTGAGGATCCCAAAACTTGCAAACATTTCGAACAAAACCCAAATTCATCAGCAAACAACCCTTTTGAACACAAAATTCACAGCAGACCCCCAGAACACAATTTCATTTTACTGCCTTCAAAACAGATTGAAATGGCTTTATCTATTTTTTTTCTAGACTATCACTTATTTCGATCTATGCAGCACTTCCTGACCGACAAACACTTCATGGATCACGACGAAGTCCAAATTTGGGTAGGCCAACACTTCGACTAGACTTCGACTCGCAGCCTCAGAATTTCTTCAGCAAAGGGGTCCGAGTTTTGAAAGAAAAATGGAGAAAGACTATTGCCAACAACGGAGAATATCTTTTGGATTCAAGCGCATTTTTTTCTTTTTGTGGAGATAAATTTGTTTTTCATTAAAAGGGTATTTTCATCCCGGACAACCTAATAGTAAAAGTGAAAACAAAGTTTGGCCTTTTATTTGGCATTTTAACTTGACAAAATTTTAGTAATCTAATCAAAAAATGATCTAAAAGAGGGAATAAGAAAGTGTATTTAAAGGGAAGAATTGTTTAGTTTCTTTTAGCTTTTTAGAAGATTGGTTTAGTGATGTTTTTAATCAAACATTTCACTTTTGTGTAGAATTATTTGTAAACTTTAAATTTATTCAGCATCAACGGATTTTCTTAACAAAATGAGTGACGGAAATGACAATTTGGACAATGACAACGCCGCCAATAATGGCTCTTCTTAAGAGGTATTTTTTGTAAGTTCAAATATTTTTAAAAGCAAATTTTTCAGGAAATTTACTAGCATTTCAAAAAAATAACTCTAGACCAAAAATGGGCAGCCAGCACAAGCTTTTGCAGCACTGCTTGTTTGGCCTCGTGTGAAACGATGGCAAACGATAGTTGCCCGGGTTTTACCATTGCAAATCCCGATATTTGTACAAATCATTGTAAGAGCATTTGTGGTGAAAGTGCTTCTGACGTTTGAAAGAACTTACACGCTACAACTTTGACAGGAACTTTGACAAGAATGTTGACAAGACAAATACTACTGTGAACACTTCAGCTTTCAGCTGTTTTTCTTGTTAAACTTTACGAGAATGAAACGTTTTTGTGTCTGATGTGCCACCAAATGATGCTAAAATACGGAAAGCCGGAAAAAGAAGGAAAGATTACCGTAATTTCAATATTTTTTCATAAAAGCAAATTCCAGGAGTGCCGTGTTATGTATATGAGCTTAATTGAATCCTTTTTTGCTTCATTCTCCATAGCTATTTCATCAACTTGGTGTATACCTGACAAGGACTGTTTAAAAAATCTTAAACGCAAGAAAATCCCAGGTCAGCTTTGAGTTTGATTCAGAAAATGGACTAGGATAGTCATAATAAACCTGGGCCACAGATTACACCTAACATTATTCATGGAACAAAGAAGAATCACCAAAATTGACTCTCTACTTGTCTTGTCTACTTTGCGCCCCTACCGTAGTCATAGCCGAATTGGCTAGTTGCCAGCGAATCTTTGTATGCTATTGAACGCTTCCCAGAGCTGATAGCTGTTGTTTTTATCAGAATTTTTGCCAGTTTTTACTAGAACTATTTATCTTTTTATTATATTTTACATTTTTTTCAGAATGACTGATACTTATGGCCTGAAACCGCAATCTTTCGATTTGGAGGATGGTGGGGAGAGGTGAGGAATTGAATTTTGTACCGAAAACACCAATATGTAACATGTAAAACACCAAAATTGTCATTTTTATTCGCCCAAAGCCTAAAAAAGTGCCTGTTTTGTATGAAAATGGGACATTCATCTTTCACTGTTCAATCTTCTCTTCGATTCCAGGTATTACATCGGCGCTGAAGTGGGGAATTACTTGAATTCCACCGTGGCACTCTTTACAAGAAATACCCGCTTTTATGGAAACGAGTGGCGACAGTGGAGGAAAGGGAAAGGATTCGGAACATCAATGCATCACCTGCTTTTTTGAATACGAATATCATGTGAGTTGATTGGAAGTTGGGAATGGGTTGCGGTTGTTGCTGTTGTTGTTGTTGTTGTTGTTGTTGTTGTTGCTAACAGAGTTGTTTTTAGAGACAATTTCCAAGGCTAAAGCCAAAACTATCGAGTGTTTAACATTTTCACTGAAAAAAATGGTTTTTTAGCTTAGCTTTAGACTGGCTAATTATAGCTTTTGACTTTAGTACAACTCTGGACAAAAGCACAATTTGGGAAACGGTAGAATAGTGAATCTGGTTTAAAATTTGATCTTTTAGAGGCTAATCGATTAAATCTTGTTTCTAATGATAGCGATAATCATTACAGATTATTATTGCTAATGATGTTGCTTAAATCTAGTCCTTAATGATAGCTATAATGAAAAATTGTCTTGAAGGCTCCTCAAGCAAACGGAAGTTGACGAGATGCTATCGGGAAACGATGAGAAATATCGGGTAAGTGTTTTGAAATTTTCGAAAACTGATATCCAATATGAAAAGAAGCACTAGCAGCTATTTTAGAAGTACTAGCAGCTATTTTGAAAAGTAATACTAGCCACTAACGAGCTAGAAATTCCTAGCTATTGTCTATCAAACCGATTTCAAGCCTAAAACTGATTGCAAGCTGTTTCAGGCTGTTCAGGCTTGGACTTGAGTCTAAATCTATAGTCTAACGAATAGAATATAGCTTGATTGTGCTAATTGTAGCCAAAAGCCAGATTATGGTCAGATCATAGCCAAATTGATTGTCCATTGTACGAATTCAATAACTAGATCTCTTTTCAGGTACCCGGTGGTCAATCTACGCCAAGAACTGAAGGCGGATTCACCCCGTTGAAGCCGAATCCACCAAAGGCTGTGCCAGCAAGTGGATGGATTGGACAACAGGTTGGTTTGAGCATTCTAATGTACTTTGTCTATAAAATTGAAAAATAAAGAATTCGAAATTCAAAAAACTATAATTCTAGGTGACGACTGGCTCTCATCATCTCGAATCTGTGCCCGCTTCTCATCCAAGTGCACACGGAAGGGGAAAATTCAAACAAAGGACTCAATCTATTCGACAGAAGATTTAGAACAGGTGAGAAGGGCTTTACATTCAATTTCTTGACCGCAAGACAGCAAGACCGTCATGGCCGACTGGCTAAGAGCTCGATCTCATAGTCGGAAGGTCGAGGGTTCAATCCCGTAGGCTGGATTGTTTTTCTTCTTTTTCATGTAGATGTCTTTTTTTTCTCTACATTTAGGGTTTAAGGCTGGTGCTTGTTCGGTGTGCTAGAATGAGTACATTTACAACAGCAAAAGCTCATTTAGGTTTTGTACTACATTATTCCTAGGGAATAAATGTGTTTGTTTTTAAAATCTCCTTTCCAGGCCCGAAAACTGCTCGACAACGCTGATAAGCCGGAAGATTTGGTCCCAATTCGGCTGGATATGGAAATTGATGGAATCAAGCTGAGAGACACGTTTTGCTACAATCGAAATGAGCACCTCATTTGCTACAATCGAAATGAGCACCGCGCCGGATATTGTGAGTTTTAAGTGATTGATTAAATTGGATGGATTCAAGCTCCAATTCCTTCTTAAAAAGCTGGCAAATCGTATCTAGCAGGCTTAATTCCTCATTTCACTTAAGACATTTAATAAATCCAAAATCGCTTATAAATCCGAAAGTTCGGTGTGCTAGAATGAGTGCGCTTACAACAGCAAAAGCTCTTTCAGGTAGCTGAACAAATGTGCGAAGATCTTGACTTGCCCCAATCCTCCTTTCAACCGGCCATTGCTGCTGCCATCTTTCAGCAAATTGAAACATCTGAAGAGGTGGGTTTTCAGGGATTTTTAAATTCAAAAATCTTTAAACAAATCAATGGATTCTTCTCGTTTTTAAAACTTTTCACATTTTCCTTATTCAGCCAGTACCAATCGACTCCCAAACAGCTGATCAATGCGCCGTCCTTAAGCTCAACATCAACGTTGGAAATCAGAATTTGGTCGATCAATTTGAGTGTGTTTTTTTTCCTAAAGCTTAGCTTGATTGAATTATCAAAATTATCAATTCCAGATGGGACATGAGCGAACAGAGCAACAATCCCGAGGATTTCGCGCGGGTTCTCTGCGCCGAATTGGGGCTTGGAGGCGAATTCCGGGCGACCATCTCTTATTCGATTCGGTTAGTTTGAAGAAAAGATCAAGAAGAGGTCAAGAAAAGATCAATAAACGGATATTTTGCTAAAGAAATGAGAATACAAAGATCTAAGAACAGAGAAATATCTAGAAATATCAGGTTTGCAACAAAATATTGGCCCTTTTCAGTAAAAACAAAAAAATTTATTAACAAGATGAACAAATATCAACATCAATCCAAAAGGTATTCTCCGTCATTCTTTATTACTTCTTTCCACTTTTGACGGAGCAACTGGATTCCTCAATCTCAGCAACTGGATTCCGATTCAAATCTTTCAATTGCTCCTCAAATTGGGCACAAACTTTTATGCGACTTTTACCGCATGGATTGTCATCATTTACATAAAAGAGGTGAGATTTCATAAAAGAAATGATAAAGATTAAATTTTCTGATTTTATTATCGTCAACCGGTTCTCTAGAAGTTCTTTTCTTTATGTTATTGTGATCAACAAAAAACTGGGATGAGTAAGACGTCGAAACAAGCAACAACTCTTATCATTTCCAACTCTTATCATTGATGCTTTTAAATAAAAACCCATTTATGATTGGTGATTGTGAGCAATTGTACAATACGAATACGTAAAATTCGGAACAATTTGATAGAAATGAATCTGGAAAATGAAACTGGAGGATCTCGGCTATGTAACTTAGAAAGAAGACCAGAATAGCACGATTTATGAGAACAAAGCCGAGGAAAACCAGGCTTGAGCTTTATCTAAAACAAAGTTATAAAATAGTCTAGTTAAGATAAAAAACTGCAACTCAAAAAACCCGTTTGTCAGTGTTCAACCTTCAGCTGATTACACCCCACCTCTTTCTCGAGAATTTCTCTCCTCCTCATTCTTGATTTTCTTTCCTCCCGTCAGTCTTTATTGGTTTCATTTTGTAAATTTTGAACAACGACGCAGCTATTCTTCAAGACCCGCTTACACGCTCGCATAGCTGTTTTATTTTCTAAATGTTTTTTAAAGATACATTCCATACATCTTTCAGTTCAAATTCCTGTGCTTAGCCCGCCTTTTTCCTTTTCAAACGCCCGCCACTCGCGCCGCGCTTGCGTTATTAATCAAATGCATCTTGGGGCGTCGCGTACTCTTTTCTCAAACGGTCTTGCCTCTTTCTGACAGAAAATTTCCGCCTTTTTTGACATTTTAGAAATCTTTCTGGTTTTTCTCTAAATTTAGTCCTCTTTAAATCTGTTTCCTTATACTTATTTCCAACCCAATAGATAGGTTGAATTTACCGGCCTTTTCCTTGTATATTTCAAATGGTTATTAGAGTATTTACGGTATATATTATCTAATTCAAGACATGCGGAAGCAAATTTGGGTAACTTTTGAAACGAGTAGAATGTCAGTTTTTCTGACAATTCTTCAACTATAACAAAAAGAGTTGATTATATCTAGCTGAGAGTTTGGCTATTGATCTAACTTGTTATGCTTTCTTTTTTTATTGACACTAAAATAGGTCTTTGTCGAAGGAAATGCGCAAATCGCTTCATTCATCATTTTTGGTTATTCAGCTTCTGAGAAAAGCTCTAACTCGACACCCAAAATCTGATTAACACATATGGTCTTCTTGTTAATGCAAATTCTTTCAAAATTAACGGCTTTTGGATCCATTATTTCTATATTTCAAACAAAAAAATTTTATTTTTTTGCGACACTTTTGATTCTTGGCGTTACGATGACAAATGTTTCAACAAGAATCAAAAATTTATGATGGAAATTGATAGGGTTTACTTTCAATGTATACTTAGTCGGCCCGGAATTTTGTGGTCAAATGGGTTTTTTTGGTGATAAATTGATGTTTTGTTTGCAAAGCTTGGAAGTTTTGACATCGTCAATTTGCAACGCTGACAAGTAAAGTCAAAGTCAAGTTAACATCGTCATGCAAAGAATTAGCGTCAAAATCAAAAACCATCGCATCAAAAAAAGAAAACTTTTATGTTTTAAATACTAGGCACTGTACTCAAAGCGAGGCTGATCTTCGCCGACTTTACAAAAGGACCGGGAGATTACGGTAGTTTTTCCTGAATTTAAAAAATGTAAGAAAATATATATTTGGTTATTCAGCTTCTGAGAAAAACGTCACCATGGTTTTACAATTCGCAGCAATTCAACTCGGTATTGAATACACCAATTGGTGTGTTGATTCTAAGATTTTTTGCATTATTTTATTTTAGTAACTTCATTTGATGTCGCTTGTTGCGGTTGCAGTACCCAAATGGTACGTGGACACGGATTTCAGCTGAGCAACTGCCATCATATGTAGGTGAAACTTAATAATTTGAAATTTCTTTCATTTAGTTATTGTAACAATTGCATCTCGCTTACGATTGCCAAACACGGAAGATATTGCACTCTCTGTTTTGCCACCAACATGACTTACATGCGGCAGCTTCCCACTCCGGGTGAAATAATCATGCATACGGATGTAAATGTCTTCTAGGTGGTACAGAAGATTTGACTTCGTATCTTTCTTCGCGGTTTCCGTTGAATGATGGATTGATGAGCAAGACATCTTATGTTTGTCTTGAAACTACTTCGGCCAATCATGCTCGATTCTCGCAGCGCTTTGATTCTTTGAATAAGAAAATCTGAAATTATCACCTTGCTTTGCTTTCAAAAAACTTTTTTAGCATGAGCCAATTCGTGCTCCGGTATTCTCGCCATCAAAACCTGCTCAAAAATTGCGTGTTTGTGCTGGATGTCATCAAGGTTTATCGGTTAAAATGTTCATAAATGTTTTTCTTAGGAGCTGCTCAGTATTGCGACAATTGTCAAGAATCGCTCTGTGACGACTGTGTTTCTGCGCATCAAAGGGTCCGCTTCACTCGAGATCATCCTATTGTCCGTTTGCCCGAGCGTGGCGAGTGCATTGAGAAGGTTTTGATTTTAGAGCATAAAATTTTGTCGCGTCTATTTTATTTAGACAGCTGAGTCACAATTTCTTGCGGTCAAGCTTATTCAACCTGATGGTTCTCCACTCGATCTTGCAATCACGTCAGTTTTCTTGAACCTATTAAGATTCAGATTGCTTTAGCGAACGATCGGTGGCTGGCCTCTTACTTAGCTTTGTCCCCAAATTGGAGGGGGTTCATAATCTTTATATTCCACTTCAAGGATCCAACACCAAGTGAAAGCTAGGTGCAATTTTTTACTCAGAAAGTTTAGGTGAGCTCCCATTCAATTAGAAGTGCTTCGTGGAAGAAACTACAAAGAAATTGCGGACCGGGGAGAACTGTTTCATTTTGGCAAAAAGGTAGTCATAAGAATGTAATCAAAGCTTAAAATGACAAGGAGAAAAAGTATTGCTTGTTTCAGGCAGCGAAGATGGAGAGCTTTTTCGCCCATGGGGTATTTGTTGTGATCAAAAGGGCCGCATCATTGTCGCTGACCGAAGCAATAATCGCATTCAAGTATAGAGTATTAACGCAAACACCAACGCAATTAACGCAAACCAAACGGCATTTAAGAAGAAAATCTCCATGTGATGAAAAAATCTTAACATTCTTGAGCTGCGGAAGGTGAAAGAATCAAAACCTGAACGCACTGATGCCGAGAGTCCGACACAGCTATCTCATTGAGATTGTTTGTAGCGACTCCCCATGGGTAGTAAAACATTTGCAAACCGCCAAACTGGAAGACACAATTTCCATTGTTCTCAAAGACCTGAATTAAGAAAATAAATGAACTTCAAGTCAACCGGACAACCTAATAATTTTATTTTGTTCTGGGTCTGTTTAAAACTTTAAAAATCTGATAGCCTGGGTCATGATTGTTTTTATTCTTGAAAACTCCTTTGACTGGAAACTATCACAGTCAAACTGCTCGTTTACATCCGATCAGCTCGATCGGAGGATTGTATCCTCCGATATTCTCCTTGTATTTTGATAATAAAAATTATTTTTTTTGATCAGTCCGATCTTTTGATCAGTCCGATCGATTTTTGATCAGTCCGATCTGAACCTTTTAATTTCTCGTTAAGGTTACCAAGAGCGGGGTTGGTGAATGTAAACTAACGGTTTTCTTAGATAAATGCCAATGTGAAGTAAATGTGAAGACACTATACCCACCAAAGCAGATGCGGAGCTCCAAAACACTTGAAATCGCGAAAGCGTATCCCCACTGATCTCAAGGAGTCCCGGTTAAGTTGGGTCTGATTGAAAGTTGACGGCACGTTCTCCCTTGATTTTTACAAAGGCATTGGCGAGCGCTAAAATTAATTTTGTTGAAAGATGTTTTGAATTTCGGGAATGAAAGTGCCAGGATGCTTGATTATTTGTGTTGAACTTGAATACTTGAAAGTGTTCTACGTAGACCAGCCTAGGCTAATGTTCCTTCCAAAAAGAAACTTTCGGACTAGCTCTTGGTCTAGCTTCTAGTCTTACTTGGCCTGACTTGATTTTGCTATAAATCTAGCTTTATTGCAGGTTTGAGCCACAGAAAAGTTCTTCGACCTGACTCTTGGCTTAGCCTGGCTTACCGGTCCTAAATTGCTGGACTAGGCTAGAAAGTGGTTATTGGCTAGCTTTGCACCAGGATAGATGCGAGGCGGTCCTTATAGTTATTTAATCCCATAAACTACCTGTCATGATCAACCAAACGACGAGCACCTCGAGAACTTTCCGAATTTTCGAGACGTTCATCAATACCGAAAATTAAGTTCAAATGTAAAAGAATGCCTGACATCTTGAAATAAACTTGGAAGTTCAAAGATGTGTGATGACAGACTTGGATTTGATTGAAATTTCAAAAGTCTTGGAAACGAAAACTTTTGACTTTGCTGAATGCTGAATGACAGAGAGCATATTACCTCTTAAATAGTAAATGAATAGCACCAAAAGTTATTGTATCAATTCAAAAAAGTGTGTTTTGCTAGATTGCATCCTCAAAAGAAGTTGTATCCTATCATTCCTATTTCTCGCCCCACCCATCCCTAAACAGCCAAAGAAAAAATCCCTCCAAATTTGCATAATGGTCCGAGGATTGGAAGCTTTTCATTACCGCCGCTTGGTCATTGATAGAATGCTTGAAAATGCAATCACTTAGAGACATCTCTGTTACGTAATGCTCCTTTTAAGTGGAAAATAGGGCCTGAATCCAGACTTTGGAATTCTCCACCGAATCAATTTATGCTTATCCTGTGCGAATTTTGAGGTTGCCTTAGACTGATTTGTCGGATATGTTTATTTAATCAGTGCTCTATTTATCATGTTTCTATGTTCTTTGCAGTCCTGTGAGTTTCAGTCTTAGTTTTTTACACTTTTATTTGTATTGGATTAAAGCTTGATTATTATTATATGAAACCTTTTTAGTCCGTCCGTCATTACCTAAAATCGAGTTTTAATGCAAATAAAAAATAACAAACTGAATCTTGAAACAAACTCGCAGGTTTATGGTTCAAAAGTAAAAATATCTTGGATCTTGAAAGATTTGGAAAGCCTTGGCTTTGCTGAATGACCAAATCCATCAAATGTTACCGCTTAACACCAAATGTTATTGTATTCATCAAAAAATGTGTTTTGCTTGTAAATATTGTTTCCTCGAAAGAAATGGGCACACGTGATAAAGTAAAAAAGACAGTTTGTAGTTATTCTAGGAAGAAATTGCTTCTATGAAGCTAAAAAGCTTCCTGCTTATTAGTAACACATCTTAGTGGCGCAATTTGTTGCATTCTATAAGAAGTTGGCCCTCTTAGATAATTGGAGAAAAAAGAAACCCTTAGATCACAAAATTTTTCAACCATTAATGCTCAAGTTTCCTTCAAAATGCAGTGGAAGTCACTAAACTAGAAACTACAATGTCTTCGGTGACCCTTTGCATAGTCTTCCGGGTGGTCGTTTTGCACTGTTTTTTTTCAAGTATGAATTGAAAGAAAGCCTTATCAATTTCTTCAATGAAGTTTTTGCATGGCACCAGGGTTCATTTGCACAAAAAATGAAGAAAGTCTTGGCGTTCTGATTTGACAGATATTATAGTTTAAAACAAGCTGTGCTTCGACAATTTCCATTAAATTATTGGATTATTTAATTCGTTCGAAAAGTGTGGAAGTTTTGGCACTTTGAGACCGGCTTCCTTTTGAAACGATTGACAATTTACGTGAACGTCAAGTCAAATTTAATCTCTTTCGAGTTCGAGAAACTTAGTGTGTGATAGGTCGAAATGACACTGAGTTTGAATAACTTTAGCAAAAGACACTAGTTTATGGTTATGAGTTTATGAGTTCACCGTCTCGAAAGTGTATTAGGTACAGTTCATTTGTATACAGTATGTCCATTTAAAAGGTCTATAACTCAAGATCTAAGAATTCAATCCACTTCTGCTTACTGTCATTGGAATCTATGTTAAATTTCAGTAAAGAAATATATAATTTGTTTTATAGACTTACCAATAAAATTATGGAGAAAATTACGAAGTGGTACCACTCCCACGCATGTGCTTCCACATAGTGGTACCACTACCACGCATGTGGTTCCACATAGTGGTACCACTACATAATACATCCTACATGTGGTACCACTACGTGGTACCACTACATAATACCACGTAGTGGTACCACTATGTGGAATCACATGCGTGGGAATGGTACCAGTATGTGGAACCACATGGTTGGAAGTGGTACCACATAGTGGTACCACTCCGACGCATGTGATATCACTATGTTTTAGAATAACATAGGAGAAATGCCTTACCTACTTTTAAAGCTATTTAGATTTATAAGAACTTATAGCAACTTTATCTTATTTGGTGAAGAAGAGATCTTTGCTGAAAATTTCTCGTCTTCTACACCATTTGGTGTAGTAGTGATCTTTGCTCAAGATTTCTCGTCTTCTACACCATTTGGTGTAGTAGAGATCTTTTTCGAGGTTTCTTTCACTTCTTCACCAAAAAGCAGAAAACTTCGGAAATTCGATTTCTCTTAGAATAACATAGGAGAAATGCCTTAGCTACTTTTAAAGCTATTCAGATTTATAAGAACTTATAGCAACTTTATCTTATTTGGTGAAGAAGAGATCTTTGCTCAAGATTTTTCGTCTTCTACACCATTTGGTGTATTAGTGATCTTTGCTCAAGATTTCTCGTCTTCTTCACCATTTGGTGTAGTAGAGATCTTTTTCGAGGTTTCTTTCACTTCTTCACCAGAATTTCCAAAAACACTTTTTAAGTGGACGAAAGCGGAAACATTTACCGAATCGGTGAAGCTCTCAGACACAGTCGCAAAGCTTAAACATTTCGTAGAATGCTTCGGCTTTCGGCCAGTTAAAAATCGTCTTCTACACCAAAAAAAAATGGTGTAGAAGACGAAAAATCTTGAACAAAGATCTCTTCTTCACCAAATAGTCTTTTATAAAGCTTGGGGGCAAGATGCCTGGGGGCAAGATGCCTGGGGGCAAGATGATCTTGGGGGCAAGATGATCTTGGGGGCAAGATGATCTTGGGGGCAAGATCATCTTGGGGGCAAGATCATCTTGGGGGCAAGATCATCTTGGGGGCAAGATCATCTTGGGGGCAAGATCATCTTGGGGGCAAGATCATCTTGGTGGCAAGATCATCTTGGTGGCAAGATCATCTTGGGGGCAAGATCATCTTGGGGGCAAGATCATCTTGGGGGCAAGATCATCTTGGGGGCAAGATCATCTTCGGGGATCAGTAATCGCCTTTACTTTCGGACACTGTTGCAAAGCTTAAGCATTTCCGTAAAAGCTTCGGCTTTGACTATTTTGTTCATATCTCAACTTGCAATTGACTGATCTACTTGAATTTGGTATCAAAATGTTGCTTAAGATGTTTCCAAGATTACTAAGGAAACCCTAGAAATCCTAGAAAACTCAAAAAATTTAGAAAACTCATAAAATTCAAAAAGAAAGTGCAGCACTTGGGGGGGGGGGCTATTTCTAGCCCCCCAAATCCCCCCAAGCACTCCCCGGTGAGGGAGGGGGTCACCCTGAGCTATCTTGGAGGAATCACCCTTACCTCAAGCTCTGACGAAGACGCGCCACCGTCTCAGGCTCTGAAAAGTCCTGGGTCTCCGAGTTTTAGAGTCTTTGCTTTGACTGAGCGTTGATTGAGCTGTGTACCCCTCAGCTTTCCGACAATTCCCTTGGCTTTAAAGTACCCGGGTACTTAGGAGTGCCATTCTCCTTTACCTCACGGACCTACATCCGCTACAGTGGCGCACGGAGGACATCCGCTGCCGATAGTGGGTCGGTGACTCCTGCTTTTTATGACCCCCTCGGTGTCCATGGACGAGAAACTGCGCGTTTATCGCTCCCAGAGGGTCCGAATCACCTTCCCTTCAAAAAAGCATCGTCTGGCACATGGAGGTTGGGGGTAACTTTTTTGCAGGTGGGATCCGGTTTAATTACCCAAGTTTCCCAAAAATAAAAGAAATTTTTCCAAGAATACTTCAATTTTTTTT